CTATCATTAGAGTTATGGTTAAAAACCCAATATTCTGACATTGCAAACTATCATTGGAGTTATGTTCTACTAAAGTTTAATTAGTATTTATATAATCTATGTTCTACTAAAGTTTAATCAGTATTTATATAATCTATGTCCTACTAAAGTTTAATTAGTATTTATATAATCTATGTTCTACTAAAGTTTAATCAGTATTTATATAATCTATGTCCTACTAAAGTTTAATTAGTATTTATATAATCTATGTTCTACTAAAGTTTAATCAGTATTTATATAATATATATTCTACAATAGTTTAATTAGTATTTATAACCTATGTTCTACAACTGTCTAATTAGTATTTATAACCTATGTTCTACAACTGAATAATTAGTGTTTATGATCTATGTTCTACAACTGTATAATTAGTATTTATAACCTATGTTCTACAACTGTATATTAGTATTTATAACCTATGTTCTACAACTGTATATTAGTATTTATAACCTATGTTCTACAACTGTATATTAGTATTTATAACCTATGTTCTACAACTGTATAATCTGTTTATAATCTAGATTACACATCTGTATAATTAGTGTTTATAATCTATGTTCTACAACTGTCTGGTATATATAACCTATGTTACACATCTGTATAATTAGTATTTATAATCTATGTTCTACAACTGTCTGGTATATATAATCTATGTTCTACAATAGTCTAATTAGTATTTATAATCTATGTTCCACAATAGTCTAGTTAGTATTTATAATCTATGTTCTACAACTGTATAATTAGTATTTATAATCTATGTTCCACAATAGTCTAGTTAGTATTTATAATCTATGTTCTACAACTGTATAATTAGTATTTATAATTTATGTTCTACAACTGTCTAGTATATATAATCTATGTTCCACAATAGTCTAGTTAGTATTTATAATCTATGTTCTACAACTGTATAATTAGTATTTATAATCTATGCTCTACAACTGTATAATTAGTATTTATAATCTATGTTCTACAACTGTATAATTTGTGTTTATAATCTATGTTACACAACTATTTGGTATCTATATTCTATAACTGTTTACGTAGTGATTCTATGTTTCATGCATTTCGTACTATAATTTTAATCTATATTCCACAGCTGTGTAATTAGTATTTCTAATCTATGTTTCATGACCATCTAATTAGACTAATTAATATTCTCGATATTGGTAGACATTAATCAAACACAAAACATCACCTCGATAAAATAATTGAAACTTACCCCAGTGGACAAACAAAATATCTTGTGTATGTAGAAGCTGCTTGGCAGACAGAGCTTATGAAGCCTCGTCTCTCCCGGTAAACAAGGATGTGGAGAAAATGTGTAGATTTGCAGAGAAGAGAACAAACATGCTTTCAAATCGAGCTCAGCGTCCTTCCTCTCAGCTAGAGCCCGACACGTGCAGGTTCACAGCTTTGAGCTACCCATAATGCCTCGTACCTCCTCTCCTCTCGCCTGTTAGATATCTCTAACATATCAGACTGAAGCGATAAGTAAATTAAGTTTATTACCTCAACTAGTCTTCATTAATTCCTAGAATGGCGTCTTATTCGTAGTTGAAAACACCAATTTCCTCTTTCGTCATCCAATATTCTGTTTTTGTTAGAAATTTAATTGTGGTAACGTTGAACACAATAAAATTACACTTGGGCCGGTTATGTGAAACAAGTATTTCTTAAAACATTTTTACACATTGTTCAACAGAGAATACCAATCACGTGACCTACACTACCACGTGTATAGCACGAGAGTTAAAACTTGTATTACCACGGTTGTCACATTTATCAATTACGTTAAAACACAGATTACCACGGTTGTCACATTTATTACTT